ACGAGAAACACCCACAGGTGTGGAGGGGCAGGCCACCGTTTCATTTTACCTCCTGGGAATGGCTTAAGTCTTTTTCCCCCTCCCCTCTCTGGCTGCCTCTAGTCCAGGATACCTCTTAACTGGTCACACTGCCTCTACTTGAACTCTACCAGGAACTTCTGCACACAGCCTCAAAGAGTTTTTCTAAAACCAACCTGGCCAGGTGCAGAGGCTCCCACCTGTGGTCCCAGCTACTCAGGAGTCTGAGGTGGGAGGATTGCTTGAGCCCGGGAGTTCTGGGCTGTAGTACACTATGCCAATGGGGGGTCAGTATGGTCCAGGGAGTGGAGTACCACTAGATTGCCTGAGGAGGGGTAAACTGGCTCAGGTCAGAAACAGAGCAGGTCAAAACTCCCATGCTGATCAGTAATAAGATCGTGCCCATGAATAGCCACTGCACTCCAACCCCAGCGTGGGCAACCTGGCAAGACCTCATTTCTTTCTATTTCTTTTTTTTTGAGATGGAGCGCAGTGGTGCAATCTTGGCTCACTGCATCCCCCACCTCCCGGGTTCAAGCGATTCTCCTGCCTCAGCCTTCTGAGTAGCTGGGACTACTGGTGTGTGCCACCATGCCTGGCAAATTTTCTTTTTTTTTTTGAGACGGAGTCTCACTGTCGCCCAGGCTAGAGTACAATGGCATGATCTCGGCTCACTGCAACCTCTGCCTCCCAGGTACAAGCACTTCTCCTGCCTCAGCCTCCCAAGTAGCTGGGATTACAGGCGTGTGCCACCAGGCCGGGCTAATTTTTTGTATTTTTTAGTAGAGACGCGGTTTCACCATGTTGGCCAGGCTGGTCTCAAGCTCCTGACCTCAGATGATCTGCCCGCCTCAGCCTCCCAAAGTGCTGGGATTACAGGCATGAGCCACTGTGCCCAGCCTGAGGTTCTTTTTTTTTTTTTTGAGACGAGTCTCGTTCACTCTGTCACCTGGACTGGAGTGCAGTGGCAAGATCTCGGCTCACTGCAACCTCTGTCTCCTCGGTTCAAGCGATTCTCCTGCCTCAGCCTCCCAAGTAGTTCGGACTACAGGCATGAGCCCGGCTAATTTTTTTTTTTTTTTTTTAGACTGAGTCTTGCTTTGTCGCCCAGGTTGGCACGATCTCAGCTTACTACAACCTCCGCCTCCTGGGTTCAAGCAATTCTCCTGCCTCAGCCTCCTGAATAGCTGGGACTACAGGTGCCCACCACCACGCCCAGCTAATTTTTGTATTTTTAGTAGAGATGGGATTTCACCATGTTGGCCAGGCTGGTCTCGAACTCCTGACCTTGTGATCCTCCTGCCTCGGCCTCTCAAAGTGCTAGGATTACAGGCGTGAGCCACTGTGCCTGGCCAAGCCCAGCTAATTTTTGTATTTTTAGTAGAGACAGGGTTTCACCATGTTGGCTAGGCTGGTCTTGAACTCCTGGCCTCAGGTGATCTGCCCACCTTGGCCTCCCAAAGTGCTGGGATTACAGGCGTGAGCCACTGCTCATGGCCACTGCCTAAGCACCACCGAGCCTGAGGAACTGCAGTTTCGGCTTCCATTGTCTTATAATGAAGGTCCTTTTCTCTTTGAAGGAAGTATGAGATGCCCACAGGGGACACATCCAGCCTAAGGTAAGCCTGCCAGGGGCTCCCCCATCACCTGTCCTCAGCTTTCAGCAGCCAGACAGCCACCTGCCTCTGTTTCTGCCACCCTGCAACACCGAAGAAGGCCCTGCTGTCTTGGCTGGCTGAGCTGGGTACTGTTCTGGGAAGGAGCTGCCCCCCTTTTCCTTCAAATCTTGCCCCCTGGGTGGCTGTTTGATTCCACGCAGCTCTGAGTGGGGACTGACCAGGGGCTGAGAGGTGAACAGGCACTGGCCTAGGAGCTGGGAACCCTGGGACTAAGGCCCAGCGTGGTCCCTTTCCTGACTGTGTGTCCTCGGGCAAGTCATTTGACCTGAGTCTGTCTAGAATGGATTTGTTCCTGTGGCAAGTAGCTGTGGGTTGGGCTATGAAGGTTAAATCATGCAGGAGGGAGGCAGAAGGGGGTGTTAGTCCTGCTGGTGTCTTCCGTGCAGGGTCAGGGACATAAAGGAAGGTGGGGCCTATGCAGTGTTGGTGACCATTCTTCCTCTCTCCCACAAGGGGGATGGGCTGGGTGTTTGAAGCCTCGGAGCTGGTACCCAGCTCCCCTCTCCCCTGGCTGGGACAGAACGGGGAGGAACCATCAGGATCTGTGTGCAGACAGGGGTGGGGGTGGGCCTGGGGGGTTGGACTTTCAAAAGATGTCGCTATCTCCCACCCAGGTATGATTTTTGCAACAGTGAGGATGGAGAGCAGGTGCAGGGGTTTGAGGCTGAGGAAGGGTTGATGCTGGCAGCAGATATTATGCCGGGGGAAGATTTCACGCCTGCAGAGAAGTTGGTGCCCGAGGAGGAGCTGGGGACTGCCGAAAAGGTGCTGGCTGAGGAAGGGGTGATGAAAGAGGCAGAGCTGGTGTTGGAGGAGACTGAGGGCTGGGAGGAGGTGGAACCGGAGCTGGATGAGGCAACGCGGATGAACATGGTGACGTCAGCCCTGGAGGCCAGTGGCTTGGGCCCTTCACACCTGGACATGAAATATGTCCTCCAGCAGCAGGCCAACTGGCAGGATGCCCATTACAGGCGGCAGCTGAGGCGGAAGATGTTCCAGAAAGGTTGAGTGCCCCCACGGGGACCTCCCTGCCACCAGCCGGACAAGCTGCAGATCCTCGTGCCGATGAAAAGAGAGGGTGGATAAACTCCCCGAGTGCTCACCTACCCCAGCCTGGCCCTACCCGGAGTGCTGATTTGCATGGACTTTGCATATCGTTTGCATAGGCATATCCGATCCCCTTCAGTGGGAACTGTAGAGCCAGTGCTCATTTATGTGGCATTTGCTTAGGATTTCAGATCTCTATCCACTTTTCTCCTGGGGGCTGGGCTGGGGGTCAGGACTGGGATTGTGCCCCCACACTGCACCTCAGCTTCCCATCTCCGCCTGCCTGCTTCTCCTGCCCCCTACCCCTGCCTCCTCTGTCCCCCAGGCTCTCCAACCCTGCAGCAGTGGCAGCAGCAGTCAAAATAAGCACGGGGGTGGGATTGTGGAGCTGCCCAGGGGCTGACCCAGGCTGGAGGACAGGCCCAGCTACCGTCCCAGGGCCTGGGAGGAAGAGGGGCCTTCTGGGGCTGCCCAGGCTACGGGGACAAAGGCCTCCACCAGCAAGGGCCACAGTTGGACCAGTCCCCTGGGTGAGTCGGAAGGTGGGCTAGGGCCTCCTGCAGGGTTGGGAGGTGGAACAGGGTCTCCTCTCCCCAGCTAGAAACCCCAAAGTCTGGGAGCTGCACCTGCTGAGTGCAGGCCTTGTGAGCCCTGCCTCTTTAAGGAGTCGTGGGACATGAAAGATGACCTCGTGACACTCATGCACAGCAGCCATTGCACATGCGTCAGCTCCCATCAGCCTCACTCCCTGTGGCAGGCGATGTGTCCCCATTGGTTAGGTGAGGAGGGTGAGGTTCAGAGAACTAAGGACACTTGTTCGGGGCCACATGGTGAGGGGTAGATCTGAGCCTGTCCTCTCCACTCCTGTGCTGTAGCACCTTCACTGGCCCATCCCTCCCCTCTAGTACTGTCCTGGTACCCGCTCCGGCCTGTCCCCATTCTCATGGCCCTTGGTCACTGCAGGGTGGAATAGCACTAGCCTCAGCAGGCCTGTCATGTCAACTTGTGCAGGTTATAAACTGAACCATGACCTTTATGGCACATGCAGGGGACATCCTGCATAATTATCAATGGCAACTTTCTGTGTCTTTGATACAGTTGTCCAGACCCCTGCCCACCGCCCAGGCTGGGCCTATGGTCTTCAATGCCCTGGTTCACATCCACCTGCTTCTCTTCCAGGCTTTGCTGTTCCCCAGCAGCCTGCAGAGGCCGCACAGACAGCTTGAGGCCCCTCCTTCTGCCTGGCCAAGCCCACACCCCCAGACCCTCCTTCCCATCCTCTGAAATGGGACCCTGTGTCTGTCACCAGCCCACCCTCTGTGTTCATGAACCTGGGCTGGAGTCTGGGGACCCGGGCCTCCACCCTCTTCAGGGACAGGCGGTAGGAACCCCGGCTGTCACTCTGTAGCTGGTACAAAAGCTGTGGCTGCCAGGCTTGGGTCACATGGCAGCCCAGGGGAGGCCCACTGGCTACCAGGCCCAGCCCTGAGTAGGGAATGGCCCAGCTTCCACGGGTAGGGAGTTGTGAGGCCCCTCACGCCTTGATGCCCAGGCTAGCGGTGGCCACCCCAGTTCTTGTTGACTTGAGGGACCTGGCCATCTTCCCCGTTCTTCATCCTTCTCGGTCCCTACTTACTGTTTGTAACCACAAGTGTCTCTATGTGTGGGTGGGTGAGGGCCCCTCTGCCCAGTGGTGTGTCTCCTCTCCCTCCCTCCCCTCCCTCTTCTGCCAGTGGCCTGGGGGTGTCCAGGCTCCCACCCATGGCCCAGCCCCTCTCCCCTCCCTGTTGATTCCCCCCTCCCTGCCCCTGGCTTCCTCTTCCATGTCCCACCCTCTCCCACACCTTTGTTCCTCAATAGCTGGGGGCTGGGACTCAGGCCTCCTGCGGGTGCCTGCCCGGCTCCACG